TTCTAGTCAGTTTTCTGGGGACCCCTAAAACACCCACATGGTCCCTTATACGTCCTTGAATCTTAGTTAGCAAACCGCTGATATACACAGTGAGTGAAAGTTTACTTTGGCTTTGAAAGTAGGAATGCTACGGAAAAGAAAAATCAGTAGAAAAGTGATAAACCCAGTCATCAATTTGCTCAAACCTTAAAATAATGAGATATGAAGACACATGTTCAAAAATAAAACACCTGTTTATTCAAAAACAGTAAAAATAGTGCATGTGTATTCTCCTTTAGTAGAATTGGTATTTTTATTTACAGAAAGTTCAGGCACTTGAGAAAAGTCAGAAGACAGTCGAGCACATTCCAGCCTTTATGGCCAATGATATTATGTACAAAACAGGCTCAAGACTCAGTGAATTTAGCAGACAGCAGCTCCCAGAAGAGACAGAGAGAAGCCCAGTGTAGTGCTTCAGCTGGATTACACATCACACAGGTCACTGGGTGTCTCTGGGTAGCAGTCAGCTGCAGCTGGAAGGATCACTGGGGTCGATGGGTAATGGAGTTCTGAGCAGAAAGGACTATTATTTCACATTTGGGATGGCTGGGGGATACCTCCTGGAGAGAGGATCAGATCAAAGATATATCTATAAGGTTCAATATCATATAACAAGGCAGACCTAACAAAGTGATTATAGTATTGATTGTAGTAAAATATTTGGGTCTATGTCTCCATTGCAGCTATAAAATTGTTTTGGCCCTTCAGTGAAGAATTTTGAAAAACAAAAACTGGCCTATTACGTAACCAAAGCGTTGACCCCTGGATTAGAGGCTTGCCATGAAAGCTGTGAAAACTTGCAAAAGCTATTATAAGGAGAATTATATGGGTTTGGCCACGTTTGAAAGAAGAAGAGAGAGAGACATTGGTGAATAAGGGTGAGCTAATAATATTAGAGATTACTACAGCATAGGTTACAACAACAGTTGTTTAGAAGAACATGAGATATTGGAGAGATGAACAATTTATTAAGGAACTAATCCAAATTTTGGTGATGTATTTGTGAAGTATTTTTTGTGTCTTTATTTGGGCTTTATTTTTATTTCGCCACAAAGCCACACATTTTGATTGTTACACAGTTCATAGTCTTTAGTGTCAATAGACTTTACAATGATAGGAATAAATATAGGGGGAGAAAAAAAACAGACTTATCGAAGTACCTTCATGCCCCATGTATATCTATAGGAGAGAGAGAGATTGAGTAAGGAAAAGAGACATAAGGTTGGATGGAAAGAGTCAACAGAGGAGAGAGGGAGACTGTATGCGGGAAAGAACCTAAAGAACCATTGGAGAGCACAGAGGAAATGAGGCAGAGAGAAAAAGGAGAGACAGGCCAAAAGCAGGGGAGGAACCAGGGAAAGAGGAGAAGTGAAGAAATCTACAAGAAAAAAGAAGTAGGGGGGAAAAGGAAAAAGAACGGTTATTGCATGAGGGAAACTGGGGAAGGCAATAAAACAAATGCATGCTAGGAGAAAGCGGGAAAAGGGGGGATGAAGGACAGAGAGAAGGATGAAAACTTGACAGAGTGCTCAGCCTGTTGTCTCTGGCTCCAGTAGAAAGCTGCACAGAGAGAAGTCCTCTCTATTGAGGCTGATGGGAAAGAGAATATGAGAAACACATTTTCCAGCAGACCCCCACCCAGCTCAAATAACAATTCCCTCTGCCCCAGTGCCTCTGTAGCGCAGGGTTTGATTGTGTGTATGCGAGCGTGTATATGCATATATGCCAGTAAATGTTTGACTGACTGACTGGAGGTCATTATAATATAGCAGGTCAGACTTCAGGCTGTAATTGTGTGGTTTTGGAGTCACCTTGGCACACTTGGTGGAGCACGGTGAGGTTGGCCAGCTCGCTGCTGAAGGCCATCAGCGTTCTGGGAAGCAGTGGGTCCAGTGTGAGCGGGTGGCCGGGGAACTGATGGGGCATGGCCACGAACCACTGTCTTGCCACTGGTCACTGAGTTATTAGGGTGTGTCAAGCTGGGTGGAGAAAAGAACATTAAGTGACAAGCATAGGTAGCCCACTACTGCACGCATCTAAGCATCACTGACTGTGTGTACCTGGAGGGCTGTATCCAGGAAGAGTCTACAGGTGGAGGCATAGGGGTGGTGCAGGTGGAGGTGGAGATCTTTCCGATGACAGCGAGCGCCTCCTTCAGGGCAGCATGTTTGCAGAGCACTTCTTCCCGGTGGTGCTGCTGCTCCGGTGACTCATCCATTAGCGCTGAGCATTCTCCCAGAGCATAGAGCTGGGCCAGGAGCTCAGAGTTAATGAACTCCTTCACCTACAGAGAGGGGTTACAAACAGCTGTGACATGTCAAAATGTTAGAGTTTGTAAAGTGATATTATACTCTGATTTGGGATTATGACTCTCAATTCCTAAAGGGGTAGTCAATTTTTTTTTTCTTCTATGGTCTCTCATTTCTTTTTCAAGTTTCAAATATGCTCAAATAGTGTTTCAAATGCTACACTTGTATAGCAGGACAGGGAATGCAGATTTTGCTGGGCTGGGAGAGAGCATTTGGCTGGAAGAAAGGGAAAATGATTTAAAAAGTTTAGAGTCTGGTCTGGGTAGCTTACGCTGTTGATCATGAGGTGCATAATGGTCTTTGGCATTAGGTCCTTGATGGTCTTATAGATGATGTTCATGTAGGACTCAACCAGGTTTCGAATGGTTTCCACCTGACGCTCCAGCTGGGGGTCTGTGAAGTTATCAGGAGATCCATTTCCCTGCCCGTCCACAGATAGACAAGATGGAGTTGAGAGAAATAACAAATGTTCAGATTGTCTCTAAGGATATATCATGCTGCAGTGACTTCTGAGGTAACACAGCTGGTCATTTCAGTACAGATATGCGAAGCAATAAAGATCAGCCTTGTGTGCACTGCCATATCATCTATTCTATGCTTGTGAGTAGAAGAAGTATAGAGCCATTGCAATAGGAACGGGGAGAGCAGAATAGAGGGAACACAAGAGAGGGAGGTAAGGAGGAGTGGGCAGAAGAAAGAAAAGGGGGAGTGGGTGAGGGACGAGGAACTGCTGATTAGAAACAGACTAGAACACACACACATACACACATATTGGAGTGACATCATGGGCCAAGAATGCTGTGCTGAAGAGCCAACGACAGAGCGAGATGGAAGGGGTGGGGGACTCGCTTTTTTGTTTTTGGCAGGGGAGAAGAAAGGGGAACATGGAGAGAGGGGTAAGGGGTTACGGCCAGGGTTTGAGGTTAGCAAATGCTATGAGTGCATGCAACACAAAGGTAACGTGCAGACAGGTGCAGCTCCCCACAGCTCGGGTCAGGACTGGGTTTCATTAGGTTGAATTAGGGGTCAGAGTACTAACAGTGACTTTTTCAGGGTAGACTCCAGCCTGTAGAAAAGACGCCTTCCAGCTGTCCAGATCCTCCTGAGAGTTACAGGCCAACTCCAGGCATTTGTAGTCCTTATACACGTTCCTGCAAATTCAGTGCAATATTGTCAGACGTCTCAAAAACTACACTTCCTAGCCAGTAATTACACTCTTTCCACAATACAGAGTAATGAACTCATAATCTCACATACCGTAAAACAAATACACCATGTTGGTAACCTTACTTATGACATTAGAAAATACAGTACATATCAAAATCATCCACACTAACATGGACAGTGCTGACAAGCATTATCCAAAATAGGTACCCTGACCTTTTAGTAATTACATGTTATTGGTTTCCCTTATGAACTCAGTGTAAGTGATGTAGCCAGAGTTTTAGTCACAATGCGTGGGATAATTTCAGCTTTTTTTTAGCTATTCGCTGTCTCCTTTCTTACCATTTCACTTCCAGTGGAAACAAAACAAGTCTTGCTCCACGTCTTGTGGAAAGAGAAGACTTAGTAGTACTAAAAAAAGTGTCCCCGGCTAAACTTTGTCAGACTCAGCTGCAATTATGACTTATCTTGACAGTTACTTTTGAGATGATGCCGATCGTGTGTAGTGCACTTTAAAGAGGAGTGAAAAAAGCTACCAAATCACAATTTCTGTGTTTGTGTTCTAATTTCTTAATACCCCTTCTTCACTCAGCTCTTGACCCACTTTGTACACAAGCCAAATGTTATTGGAACAAGGTTTCCTTCTTGTGCAACATGTGAATTTATTAAAGCATTCAGTACACAATACCATAAGCTGTAGCACTGTATCGTCCATACTTATCACCTGAGCTCCTGCACACAAGTATTGATGAGGGAAAATATTGTACTTAAAAAACCCATGTGTCTCTCCTACATCTTGAAATTGGCTCAATGGCAAGATTTGGTTTATAAAGTTTGTAAAGCATAATATTTTGTGTGCAGTAAAATACTCGTAATAAGTGTGAAACTTTCTATTCTACATTGTGAATGCAGCACAAATTAATTTTTGTCAGAGCTTTCATGTTCCATTATTTGGTTTGCACTATAGAGAAATATACAAATCTAAAATAATATATAATATAATGTTAAATAAACATGTCTCTGATGTTGGTGAGTTTGTGTGTGATTTAATAATAACTTTGTGGGGGGAGGAAGACTAAAACAAAACAAAAAATCTCTCTCTCTTACAATTGTCACATCCTGGTCTAATGTACAGTAAAGGCCACCTATTTAAGTGATACACTGACTGACCTGTGTCCCATTTCTGCCTCTTATGTAAATGTCTTGGTAAAGAGGTAGCACAAGTCATTGGGTTTTGTGTAAAAGGGCCCCACTAGAGTCGTCCCCATGTTGGGAACCACAGTTTGAATGCAGGTAGGCCTGTCTTCCCCAAACTTGGTACGATCCTTTAAAAATATATTGTGTATACAATTCAACAGAATGTAAACCGAGAATGATTCATTGATAAAGTAAAGGACAGAGACGCACACAAGCACTTGCAACTAGACAAATACACATCGAGAAATAAGGGTATAATTTCTGTAAAGCTAAATGTTACAGCAAATCAGTGATAAATCTTGATTTAAATAGGGACTTGGGTTTGTTTAAATAAAATACGCTTCTAGTAAATTCCATTAAATTCTTGGTCTGTGTGGCCTGGGAATGACAGCACTTCTGTTTAACTTTTTAATTTGGACACAGACATTTCAGGCAAGTCGCCCTTCTTCAGTGTGT